CTACAATTTTAGGATTCTGTTGACTAATTAAAAAGAAATTTGAGATCCCGAATACCACCAATTACAATTTCCTGTAATTATTCTTTATTTTCCTCACAGCACAAGAATGCTTTTTTCCCTAACTGGATTTTTTTTTCTGGGCTTTTGGAATTTTTACTTGCGGAGGTTTGGCTGTATTTTGATAATTACCTCAAGCAAATTCTCGTTTCGCATTCCGAAAATTTCCACACAAAGAAATGCACCCAAAAAGAGCTTATAGTCTTCGTTTTGTGCTGGGTACACTCTATATTAGTCTATGTATTTATGTTTAATGCATGAGCAAAATAAAAATCGTTAAAGTCTTTGCATTAATTAGTTTTAAATGATTATTTTCATTATTATTTTTTTTTATCCTTTTCCAGGAACAAGTGATTGAGAATTTCCCGTCGGACAACAGCACGAATCCCACTTTGTTCCCCAACATCGACTCTGACATGACTTACGCACTTACCTGGTGTTTAGGCCTGTTTCTTGTTGCCTGTTCCTTTGTGGTGTTTCCTATTGAGGAGCGGAGTTGTGGGTCCAAGCAACTGCAACTCATGACCGGGGTAAGTGAGATTCATTTTTCTCACTATCTTATTATAGTCTAGTTATGTTTCGAAAATGAAAAGAAAGAAGTCAGCAGTTGAGCTTCATGCAGATGAGGAAGAAAATACCTTCATAATCCTGACAGCTGTTGATTAACGAGTAAAATTTCCTTATTGTAGAGCAAATACTTTTTTTTTAGGTGAGCTATTTTGAGATAGAACTTATTTCTGTGACTTGCTACTTCGCGTCGGATTAGCGGAAAAAAAAAATGAGTCAATAATTGGAAGGATGAGTTTCTCTGCTTTAAATGCCATTTTTATTTTTTGCAGATGAAACCTGCCACTTATTGGCTCGGTCACGCAGTCGGAGACACGGCAATTACAATTTCGGCAATGTTGATTGCAGTGATTCTTTTTGCCAGCATTAACGCCAGTGGCGTTTTTCTCGCACACGGTGGATCAGCGACTGGTGAGAGCTGTAAACGATACAAAGACGAAATTGATAAAATTTTAAGAAGACCGATGATGGAACAAAATGTCAAATAAAACTCAGCACGCCACCTGGGAACCCGGCAGGGAGATTCTCGGTAGAATCTCCAAAGATCAAGTAGTTTAAAAGAGATGAATCGAACAAAAGGTAAACTTGGAAATTTCACACTCAGAATGCAATTCTCAATAAATACAACCGAAGGCTTCGGAGACTCGATGAACAGTGTGCGAGCAGAAATAATTATTCGTATTATTTTAAAAGATTGCGCAATGTGAAATACCGTGGATTTCCCACTGCGCAACATTCCTTAGATTCCTG